TATTGGGGACCCTAACAAGGGACCCTACTTTAGAGAACTACCCAAATGCAGGGCAAGTCAAGAGTTTGGGTGGGAAAACACGTTTGGCATAGGGGTTGGGGTCTAGGGGTTTAGGGTTTACATGGTTAGTAATATTGTACACTAGAGTGTAATACCTTTTAGAATGTTTTAGTAAATTACAGAATCTGTTACGACAGAGTATAGTACCCTATATTCCACTTTTCGGGCTTCAAATTAAAGAAACCCTAAACCCTAAACCCAAACCCCTAAACCGGGCCAGCAACCTGGTACACTAAAGCCTACAAGCTTTGAGCCCTTACCTAGGGTAACCGAAGGATTTAGGGTTTAGGGTTTAAGGGTTTAGTGTTCGAGGTACCTGAAAAAGGGCCTAGTTTTTGGGGTCGTGCTGTATTCTTTAAGGGACATTAGCTACGCTAGGTAAGCCCTCATGCCCAAAACCCTCAAGTGGACCGATCTGGGGGAAGGACCAGAACTGTTGGTGAAAGTTGGAGCCGTCGCAGAGCGCGACCACCAGCGTCGATGACTGGTGCCTAGATTTGGGTTCTTGGGATGAGTTTCCTTACGTCGGGGACTTTGGTAGCAATGACTCAACTACTTAATGAAGGGGCCTTGATAATTACCTATACTAGTTTGGGGTTCCTTATCATAATTATAGTATAATGGGCCCCAAACTCTATTCTAGTTATTAAGGCCCCGATATTAGGGTCTATGCTAAGGTGCCTTATTTCTGAGCACGTCTGAATTTGGGCCTTTTACGCCCCTGAACTGTCATCTCAAACCCGCTGAAACCATGGAACCCAAAACCCCAAACCCCAAATCCTAGACTTTAGGGTTTAGGGTTTACGGTTTGGGGTTTAGGCTACTGACTACTCATCACCATCCACTTCAAGGCCCCAGACCCTACAGGCACACATGAGCAACTCTTGGCTGACTTCTGAACCCCTCCTGAAGGTTAAACTTTTCGCCCTACTTAGGCCCTACTTGTTATAGTTCATATAGAAACCCCAAAAGCTAAAGTCCAAAGAGCCAGCCAGAAGAACCCTAAACCCCAAACCCTCACTTGTCAGAACCAGACTTTCTAACTGGCGAACACCTTATCCGAAGGAAGCCAGAGACTCCAATACCCCTTAAGTAAGGAATATACGTTAAATTATAGTAGGACCCCTAATATGATTTTAAGGTATATTC